AGGAATACAGGCGGCAGGATGGGAACACTTATGCTGGGTGGCAGGACAGGACTCCGCCCACAATGAGCGGGGTTCGAGCAGAAACTTACGAATCCTGTTCCTATAGACCTAGAGAGTTCAAATTTGGAAGGAGTACAGGCGGCAGCATAGGAACACCAATGGTGGGTGTCAGGGCCGGACTCCGCACACAGTGGCCCATTGGGCGGGGTTTGAACGGAAAACGGGCTTACAGAGACTGTCAAAATGGACCTAGAGCTACCAAACTCGGTAGGAATAGAGGAGGCATGATAGGTACACTGATATTAGCTTGCAGGACTAAACTCCGCCCCAAAGGGCGGGGTGTGAATAAATAGTGTTAGTTCGGACCCAGACCGTTGAAACCTGAAGGCACAAGGAGTTGGCTGGGAACATTGATGGTTGCTAACACAATAGACTCAGCCGCAATGAAGTCTCTGGATATTTTTTTCTCTGAATGATCACCTTTGTGATATTATATTCTAATCGGGCACAGCGAAAATGGATTACAGAAAAAATCGCTCCCAATTCGGGGCTAATACTGAGGGTGTAGAGCTTTCAAAGAAAAAGCAGAATCCGAAGTGTTATTCACGCATAGCAAATTTCTCACAGGAAGGGGGGACGCCCGGCGTAGCCGGGCGAACCCATAAGAAGGAGAGAAGCCCGGCGTTAGCCGGGCGGCCCGACTGGTATGAAATATAACAATATACAATGAAAAATTGTCCCTGAAGTTGAAAAAGACATGAAGCTTCTGCCACAATTAAACTCCATTTCTATTCATCGTGAGAAAGGAGCCCAATTGTATTATGCACATTTTACGTTGAACTGAGCGTATTTTTCTCATAGTATAGGGTATTCAGCAAGATCGTCGCCTAACAATAACACGTCAATCCCCTCTTATCTCTCGCCGTCATTGATAAGGCCATTCCATGTTCAAGGTATTCTCAAATGGCTTGACGTCAGTCGTGCCCATCCTTGGATACGTGCGGTCACTGTAGGCCATCTGCTCGAGCACTCGTCAGGTGGTTGGAGCAATCAAGAAAAACTAGAGTTTAACAGAACCCCACAAACGTGAGTGAACCTTTAAGATACGTTGTAGCCGTGTAGATTCAAAAAGTATTCAAGGGTGTCCATCCTCAACTAGCTGAAAATGTCCATTCAGCGATGTTTTGTCTCTGCAGAAGAATCCTTGAAAAGTGTCATAGTGCTGGAGAATTTAATATATAGTGATACGAAAGGGCACCTAGGAACGAGCCAAAATCTAGCGCCCTGCGGCTGAATTTATGCTCTTAATGAGTTATTCGACGCAGACAAGACTGTCAAAGCGCTTGGTTTGCTAGCCAATCCTTTGGAAGCATAGTTACGACATTTTTGGGTGTCTAGTTATAGACATAAAAGTTCAGAATAGTGCAAAAGTCACAACACAAAGAAACACAAAAATCGGCTGGTTAAGAGAAATATGTAAATCTCAAAAAGGTGGTAAAGTTAGAGGTTGGACGAAAAAATGGCAACAAAAATTGCATGAAACGGGAGTTTGAATAAACCGTTGAAATGGGTGTGCCTTTGGTACAGCTACCTACAGTAAGCTGTCTGTGTACAACATGTGTGTCTCGGTGCGAACGGTACGACCTGCCCGGGTCTGGGTGAACAGGTGCGTCCGAGAATGCGCGCGGCAAAGTGCGCGGCGAAACTCATGGTGATTGGAAGACTTAAGCGAATATAATTGGGGCTCACCTTCGATGTAGTGTGGATAAGCAGGATCACCTGATACTACTAATCTACTCTAGTTCAACATTAGGCCCCAATGACATGAGCTTAAAGGCACGGTTCACGATAAAAAAAGGTTACCGAGTTCTTCCTTTAGGAATACTCAGCGCCCCCATTGGTGGTAGAAGGGACCCTCCCGCTCCCACAATCTCAGGGCTTAGGGCATAGTAGAAGCCCCGTTGCTGCCGTAGTTCGCTTTCCCGCCCTCGATCGGTGTCACGTTAGACGAGTGTCGAGACGATACAGATTGCTATTTTTCACTCTAGAACCCACGAACAATCAGCTAATCGCCGAGTGATGAGGCGATGTTTTTCTCCCATTCTTTTTTCCTCTGTTTTTCTTTTTGCTGCCGCGATCCCCTATTTAGTTTCTTAGTCCTAGAGGCTGAAAAAGGTGAGCTATTTTTGCTGTTACTAGGGATTTTTTGTTTATTCATGCCTATAAGTGAATGAATTTTTGCTTACCATTGCCTGTTATTCGCACCAGGACCCACACGCGCGCAGTGAAATACACAGTTAAGTTCGTCCGGACGCCCCACTCTTCTTCATTTTCCTGGTTTCATTCTCGTCCAGCCCTCTTTTTAACGGTTTTTCGTAGCTTTTTTTTCACTTTGGAAACACCGATGCATGCAGTTTCTTCACCTCAGTCGCAATAGTTTCGATCTTGTCTTCCATTTTTCATCATAATCTGGATTACCCAAAATTATCGTGACTGTGCCTTTAAGTCGTTGAATTCGCCACGAACTCGCACAAATTGCCACTTGCATCCAAGGACGCACGTATGTTCCGTCCAACTAGGCCCTTGCAATAGTGTGGGAACTCGTCCTCCGGCTACATACGTCGGCTTAGCCTCTTTTGGGAATACTATCACACCATCCAGGAGTTCTTGACTCGAAAGCGTTCCTTGTGCTATCCTTGGGGGTCACAGCTTCCCCCATTGAAAAGACAAATGCTTTTTTTCGCAAAATGTAGCTTTAAGTCTAAAAATGTTGTTGCAGCTTCTCTGAAAACCCTGAAACCAACCCTGAAAAGATAAAAATCCGAATTTTGAAGTGAGAATGAGAAGATAAAGGAAAAGGAGATCCCAGGATTAAGTGTGGTCAGGAATGAATGGGTATGTATATTAACGGAATGAAGAAGTTTCGGTAATAGGGGTGGAGATTAAGTTGTAATAGTAGGCAAAAATACGAGCTGAATTCATCGACAAGCGAGGAGCACTGTAACATGGTCAACAAAAATTGTGATTCCTCTGCTATGTGGAAAAGCAACGTTTTTTTTTCAGGGAGCGTCTTAACGGCACGGCACTGTTGGAGTTTTACGTTCGGTCTTACAATCCTAAGTTCCAACCGGGAACACGATATTTGTATTCCAACATTGCGTACGTCTTTTTGGGGAAGGTCATTGAGCAGGTACGATATGTCTAGCGACCTGCAAACTTAGCTAGGAAGCATACGATTGAGGCAATATTCTCCATGCAATTTAAATCGTTGGAATTCATTCCATGAGGTGAACTTTTAGACGACTTTATCCAACTACAGCGCCTTCATCAGTGATGTGATTCTCAAGCCTCATAAGATCGAGGCACAGATTGGTGATGTGGAGCCAATCGATTCGGAGGTATTCTTTCAGTATTTTCTCCTAAAAAGGAAGATAAGGAGGATTGCTACTTTTTCTTCCTGCTTCAAAGTCGTTACTCGAATTCTCAATTGAGTCTTCCATGGCTTCTTCATGAGCTGAGGAAATAGCGTAACTTTTGAGGTCTCTTACTATTCGCCGGACAATGCCAATCCGTACACATACTGGAGCCCAGCCAAGCTCGATGCAGCGGCGGGTTGGGTCATGCGCGCTGAAGAGGTCAGATCAGATTTTTTAAAATTTTTTACTGAGAAGGCAGAGAGTAATAAAATGAAGGAAAATGGCCTCACGTGATTGATTGATGGCTCAAGGTACTACTCAAGGAAATACCTTCTGAAATAGGTGACCTTCGCAGAAAAGGCAAGATTTCTGCAAATTGTGTGGCAGCGAATACCGACGTGGCCCTTTCTACCCTATCCGAGCCTCTTCATACTGGAGACCACAGAGTGTGTATATTCCATTTAAGACAGCAGTGTTAAAGCAACGGTGTGGGTATTGACGGGTTACCTACTAATTAAGCAAGAGTCCAAAAAAACTAACAATTTGGCATCAAAAAGGTCGTTGGAGGCCACCAATTTAACGTGAGAAGGATTTTTGGAGTGTGGTCAAAAAAACTATTCAGAATGGGGAGACCTCCGCCCACACCGTGATCTAACGCATATGACGGGTTATGCTTATGACTACTCCAAGTAAAAGTTGATAGCACACCTACATCCCTGTCTCTTAGCTCGTTTATGTTGGGCGATTCCCGTCGAAAATATGTGTAACAACTTAAGTCGCTTGTTGAACAGCCCCTTCTACTTGGACTGTAAATACCTCCCAAACTGTTTGGTACTACAGGTCGCTCGTTTGTTTGCGTTGTTGGAATTACATAAATACAAGTGGTATTGGCTTCTGGTGCAGCCGAGCCAAGGAAAACGTAGTTATGGACGTGGAGTACAACTAGGTAATTTTGAATACAAGATTGGAACTTATTTATTTTGGCAGCTTCTGTATTTGTCCGTAGTTTACGGTGCAGGGATACTTAGGCTACCTGAAGTAAGTGTTGAAGCACTCGAAGGGACTTCGAATCGTTGCTATGCATTCTGCTCTTTTTTTGATTTCTCAATTCATGCTCAATTTTTTGTTCCGTCAACGGTTTACGGCACGGATCTTCCGCGTATACCCTTGCGTTCTCATAAGTTTTGGGAACGTGCTTTAATAAGGTTAGAATCCAGACTGTTACGTGACCAACCCTCCATTAGTTTTGGCATGGACCCAATAATATTTTTTGCGGATTAGCTTAGCCTTTGAGATGGGTAACAATTTTTATTCACGATTCACCTTTGGCAGAATCGCCTTCTTCGAAGCCTGTATCCGACTGTTTTTGTCAGCACTGGCTCCGAAGAAAGCGATTCTGCCGAAACGTTATTCGTGTAAAAGTTGTGACCAATCTCGGAGGCGAAGTTAATCCACAACAAAGAATCAAACTGCCCGAAAGCTTTTTTGAGTAGGCCCATTCATATTTGAATTTGACCAATTTGTATCTCTAAGTACTTTGAACAGTTTGACTGCTAACTTTTCTGCTCGAATCAGCTGAACTTATACCTATTCTATGCGTGAGAAAGCTCGCTATATTCCAGAGGGTGACGGGACTTCTCCCAGAAACCCCACGGCCTGCGGAAGTGGTTCCGCGGCGACTCTCCGGACCCTTCCGCTGCGAATTTGAATCTTTCCCTTCACAACGCGCGATCGAGTGCGACGAGCACGAGACGCAAATCGGGAAGAAGATACCAAACCCTATTTAAAGTATTAGTGGAAAAAAAGAAAAAAAAACTTCCTGTGACGGGTATGTGAAATTGGGTAAGGCATGGAAATCAAAGCAGCATTGCATCAACAAAGAAGTCAACTACAGTGTGAAAAACACCACATATGTTATGATGACATTCTGATGTTTCACATTTCATTTTAGTAAGATGTGCATTAGTAGAGATAATGAAGACAAATAAAGAAGGCGAAGGCAAGCGAGTTCTCGGTAGCGTTAAGCATAAGAGCGCGGTGCCCGGAAAGCACAAGTAGGGGGGTTCGAGTCCCGTCCGAGACTGAAGTTTTGTCCATAACTCGTCGACCCTGTCAGAATAACCATAAAGTTCTTAGCATTCAATTCAGAATTAGCTCAGCTGAGTCTGGTTGAGGTAATAAGCAGTCAACCAACTAAGCGATGTCACTTCGCAGGCGAGTAAATGAAGGTGCAGAACAAGCAGAGCATAATCGAGCTTCAGTGTCCACGAACAACCCTGAGCTAGGGCGGAATATTATTTTCCAGGTGATGATGGCTCATTGTATCACATAGGTTCGCTGGCTGGGACTGAAGGTATTGGTTACACTCGAGGAGAGACACAGGTTAACCATTCTTTTTTCCTTAGAATGTTACATGTAGAACAGTTCATAATCCATGAAGTCAAGTATTCCGACGATGCCAGTTTAGCTAACATCCTGTACAAACCTTACCGTCCTTCACTGATTATTGTAGGTGGCTATATTGACGAATGCTCGTGGCAGAGAACAAGCGCAACATACAGGATGGATGGAACGGCTCTGCCGCTTGTTTGCTGCGCATGTCTTCATACCGTAGTTCCTCGACAGTAACGTTTCATGCGGGCGATCTTGTTCACTGACCTTTTTATGATGATCTCGGGCACGGTTTAATCAACAGAAATTCTTGTGGTGATGAGCCAGTAATAAATAATGAAACAGCATTTTTCTCATACAAGCCTATCATGGAATTAGGTGCAAACGGAACGCCAAACGATTGGCCTTTCACACGTTTACGTGGCATCATTGGTTTTTGATCGCGATCCTCTTATAGGAAATTGGGAGTAGCATATAAATTAAAAAAGCTTAACGAGTATAGCTCACAAAAGTCACCAACCCAGCTTTGTTAGTGGATATGGCAATTGAAAATAATCCTCGAAGAAAGCCAATAGCTTTGGCACGAGTGCCAATGCTAGGCTTGTATCGTTGAGCTTTCTTTCCTCGGCATAGATGCGAACCTGCAAATATGCGTTAGGTCTAAGTAGTAGTCGTATTAGCCAGAAGTCATGCATAGTTGGTCATGCTGTGCTCAGAGCATAGCAGGAGAAAAATAAAAGATCAAAGGTAAAAAGTTAAAGAAAATAGAGGTGATCTAGATCATATCTCAGTCATGAGTACCATAGTCGCTTTCAGCTCGTCGCGAGTAAGAGATACTCTATGATTGGATCTACCACTTGCCAGGGAAGAATAGTCTACTTACCACGGGAATTTGAACAGAGACCCATATTGCTCGATAGACTTCCGTTTCATGATTTGTATTGTACTCGCTCTGACACTGGATTTGGAGCTCTAGAGTTTTTTTTAATCTCTTGAAATGCATTTTGTACAAGCAGGGCATGTTGATGAAAAACCAGACTCCTGTGTCAACGTTTCGAATAATTTTGAGGCAAATAACTGTTTTGTCTCCGGTTGAAGAAAAGCAGCATGTGTGAGGTATGCAGTTTGGGCACAAAGTGAGCACTTCACAAAATTTTCCAGGTTTTTACATCAATGTTAACTTCCTCACAAGCACCTTAGACATCTCTGGCTTCATTTTGTTGAATGTTTCTTGAATTCAAGGTAAACAGAATCGTACAATCAACGTGCAGATTCATTCCTCCTTGGATATGTGAGACAAGCGCACATGAATGGAGGATTAAGGCGTTCATTGTGACAAACAAATGTCAGATGAGGTTTTTCAAATCCCCAATGAAACGAAAGAGCACAGTGCAAACCAGCATCTTCCGCCTGTGAAGCGAGACCACTACCACTACGCCACGTCGACTTCGATATCAAAACGACGAGTTCGCATTTGCAATTGACACTTCTGTCAAACAAATTTCCAGCCCCCTTGACTTCTTCAGGGAAGCCATTTGCAGTTTTAATTCCCATATTCGCTAACAGCATTCAAAACTCTGTCGATTAATAGGGCCTCCATTCAAAGTTCTATGGTAAGTAGACTACCCCTCCATGGTTAGTCCACTTGTAACAAAAACAAATAAAGCCAAAATGAAGACTCTACAACAGATCAATACTAAGCAAGTAGCTCATAAAGTACGCAATAATAAACGACAGACGAGCTTATTTTCTATCAGTATTAGAGGAATATTATATGATCGAAAAAACTCCAAGACACGAGTTATCAACAATGTCCCCATCAAATTTTGACGGAAAAGTCGTATCTATGTTCGGAGGTAGGTATCCTCCTCAACTTGTTGTGATTCAATTGTGGCCGTCAAAGTTGCAATAACTAATCAAAAGTTATACCAGTGCTTTAGACAGAGTAATTACTGTTTTTTTCATTCACAATTGTTACCGGTCTTTGGTGTCCTTCTATTTCAGCTTTCATTCGCCTATGCTCAACAAGGAAACCATTTCTTATATCTATGCAGGATAGCCTTATTAGTGATCAATCTACAGTTTCTATGTACTATAAATCAGTTCCATCATGGCGGCGAGACTAAAAGTTACTCGTCTCCTGCAGTCATAAACTGAAAAGTCGGGTAGCCCCGCTTACGCCGGTCCTCACTCCTTACTTTTACCAAGTAGCTAGAAAAATGAATTAGGGGGGACGCATAGATTTCATCCGACACTGAGGGCTAGAGTGCAGAGGAGAGGTAGCCAGCCTGACCTGTCCTCAGAAACAGTTCTAGGTGAAAGAATATGGTTTCAGGCAAAGAACCAGTAGGGGAGGAGCGGCGGGGTGGGGATGATTACCTCGTGCAAAAAGCTAGGACAAGGTATGAGTTAAATATTCAATTGACTCACCCACCTCGGTACCCTTCTCTCCTAAGCTAACATCAAAAAACTGTTTATTTTTGGCTAAGAAACGTTAATGAACATAATTATTGCTAATCTCGTTATGTTGAAATTATGTTGAAAAAAGCGGATATCTCTCTACTACGCTATCACCACCGATTTTTGTGAAGTGATACATAACACGATGCCGGTACAAATCAAAATCGCAGTTCTGAAGTACCCACTTCACTCCACATCACTCCCTTCATCCGCACTACTCGCCCACTTCACTCCACATCACTCACTTCATCCGCACTACTCGCTCTACTACATCAACCTACCCACCAAGTTACTGCCTTATATATAAGAAGTAAGTGTAAAGCAGAGCAAGGTTTTTCATATCACGACCTTTATCGTAATCATAAAATTTGCGGACGGAGAGAGCGACACACCGACAAACCGACACAGCAGTTTCTGCTTAATGAATGAGAGAGATGCTCAGAATGATCTTGTAGGAAAAAGCAGAAAGATGCCACATAGTTTGCTGGAAAGTGACATACATATATCTCACAAGGATGGCGATTTATGGAAAAATCTTCAGTTTCGGACGGGACTTGAACTCGTACTCGTGTGTTTATAAGCCACCACTCGAATCGCCCGGCTAACGCTAGGCTCTCCTCCTTCTTGTGACAAACACCCTGTTCCGAAAAATGTTGAACTTAGAAATTTTTGCGTGTGGGGCTGCGTTCGCTTTTTTTTTT